TTAGAAACAACTAAACAGACTAGCTCTTGTAGTAATCTCGAATTTCTAATTTAAAGTTAACATATTGTGTTCACTAGTTTAGCTTGAAATTTATAAAAGCCACTCTATTCAATAAAAAATAATTGATAATTTTAGTGATTTTTTTACCTTATTGTACGATCATAGCTGTGTTATTTAAAAAAGACAACACCAAACAGGCAAATTATTGTTATTGTACTTATGAGTTTTGAATAAGCATCTTTCAGAAATGGTCTATTGTGATTAACAGCGGGTCATTTGACGCATAAATTTCAGATATAATTTTTTATTATCATTATGTTTGTTCTTACTACTGCTTAACGACACGCTCGCCACCCCCGTGAAGCTAACGAAATAAATGCCACACCCGATGCAGATACCATGTTTATTAAAGACATGGAGTAGTTGTTACATTGAATTTCCGAAAGTTTCATGAATCATTTAAAAATACAACAAGATTTGTGGCTCATTTTTAGCTAAAACTTATTCTGTCACCCGGTAAAAACATTTATGTAGCATTTGTACGCCAGCTTTAGAATCTTAAGTTAGATAATGCACGAAAACCAGCGATTCGGATTCATATCAGAGTTAAGATGCAAACAAAAATTACTCCGCATTACGTGGTTTATGTTAATTTTAACCCTGTTATAAATGAAAAAAATAGACTATATAGATTTTAATGGGCAGTGTTTATTCTGTATGTGATCCGGTTTTGATTAATATATACAACAATGTGATTAAACCTATACATATATTTTATAAGTATTAATCAATTATTGAATGTTTTTTTTGCTAGTCACTGTACCGAGTGTTTTCTTTATAAGATATGGAGTAGATTAAATGCGTATATATTCTAAAGCACAAGCAGTGTATCTCTTTCAAAAGTTCAAAGTGTTTTTGTGAATCAAAACCACAACAACAAATGGATTGTTCCTTACTTCTTGTGGTAATATCACTCTCTTTAAAATGGTTTCAGTTTTATCTTTATATCAGTAAAAGTTTTATTGCAAAATATTTCTATAAGAAAGAACGACCCAAAAAAAAGTACCTGCATATACGATTTTTCATTTTTATTGCTCTATAATAACGAACTAAATATAACTATATCTACTCAAGTATGTTTTCAACTGTTTACGATGTATCTAAGTGCAAAATCTAAAAATCTTAGATGAATCAATAAAGGAATGGAGTAATTTTTCGTATGTTTGTATACACTGTTTCTTTGTTTTGTGTCTTACGTCTTGCTAATTGCCAAGTAGTGACTCGGCGATAAGTCTAAAAGACTTATAACGTTAAATTCGAGTTTCGATACCTGCGGCGAGCAGAACAAAGATAGCTCATCGTGTAGCTTTGTGATTAACAACAAAACAAATGTTTTGTAAATTTAATTTAAAGTTTTTAGTGGTATTTATTAATGTATTTTATCATCATTCGTGCTTCTATTGTGCCTTTAGGGAAAAGTAAGTTATGCCAAAATACAAACGTGAGGTTAAATACACATAGTGTGTAATCACCACAGGAGAGAATAATGATTCACTCTACTTTTGCAAAATAAATTTAAGGTGTTTCCTGCTGAATTTCTGAAAGACATTCGGATTTGCTACCAAAATTTCAGAAACAATTTTTAATAGTTGTTCCAGAAAAATAATTAATTGGTTAGTTCTAATTTTTCGGGAAATATATTTTTTGAAAAGCAAATGAATCTTTCCTGATACATATGAATTTGACAAAAAAAAATCTGTACATCACACTTGTATATGTAAGCACATTATGCTAATATAACAGTAAATTGACAAACAACGATTTATATACACAATGAAGTGGTTTTATTTTGGGGAAACAAATGTTTCGAGGGAACATTGTTCTGTCTTCTTTACGTATGACCTACAGCTAAGCATACAGAGTGTATATTAAAATCGTAATCTACAAAGACAAAAGACTAGCGACAGGATTACAGCTAGGGACAAGATCGAGCTATACGACTAAACACAGCCAAATTTGGCTGATGTTGCTCGGGGTCATGTTCTGTCGAAACATGTAGTATGTTCCCCCAAATAAAACCACTTCATTATGCTTATAAATTGTTGTTTGTCAATTTCCTATTAATCTGTATGACAGTTTAAAACATGTATATATATATATACAGAAAATGCGTGTGTACTGAGCTAATAATCAATAGCTACCCAAAACAGTTTTAGTTTACATGAGCTGGGTATGATCCAATGGTTAGTACACCGGGCTATGGAACCTGCGAGTCCAGCATTCGTGTCCCATTACCGTTATAACAAACAAACAAAAAAACGCACTACGCTGTTTGGGACAGTGAGTACGCTATAAAGGTGGCAGATAAATTCCACTATTCGGTCAGACAAAAGTAGTCCAAGATTTGGTGATAGCTATTGTTGATTACACAAGCCTGCAATGGTTTTATTATCTTAAAAGTTTTACACGTTCTACAGTAATTTCTGTACGCTAAATCTGAAAATGATATCCATTTTTATACATCATGTACAGATTTTTTTACAAAACGTCATAAAGCAATACATAAAAGAAAGACCACAACACGTAGTTTTGAGACTAAAAAAACACACAAAATCAGGATGAATGAGGATGCATATTCGTTTGACATCAATGTTCTTCCCTTTCCTTCAGTTTGTTTGTATTTTTGCTAAAAACATAATAATAATAATAAATGTTCATTGTGGTAAACGAAATAATAATTTGATCTAAGTAAGTTTTTTTTTCTACTCGATTTGTAAAAAATCCTTACGTGATAGAAAAAATGAATAATATTTTCGAAATCTGCGTAGCTGAATTATGGAAAATCCGTTATTAAAACTAAAACAACTGTTATGAAGTTTAATTTCACGGGCCTTTGTTAACTTACCTTCGCTTTAGTCTCTCAGAACAAATTTAAAAATAGATAGTGAAGACGGCCTTTGAGTAACTTTGCGCGAATATTCGAAAACAAGCAAACAATTAATTTACATTTACTAATGCTTATAACACTAGAAACCGTGTTTCGATACTCGTGGTGGGCAGAGCACAGATAGCCCATTGTGTAGCTTTGTGCTTAACTTCAAACAAACAAATAAACATTTACTAATGTCATCTCGTGACAACTATTTTCCTATAAACAGAATGGTCTCTTTTTACTTATAAATCATGTCTGAAATTTAAAGTGTTCAACTTGAGCATTCCCTTTTTATAATACACATAAAACCTTTTTTTTTTGTCCCAAATGTCTAAGAAGAGATATTTCGCGCATGAACAATGGGTTCTGTTTGTAAATGCAAGTTTAACTGAATTGTAAAGTATAAGAGTCTCCTATAAAAATGATTTATCAGCGGCAAAAACAATTATGTACCCTTCACTTCGTACACACCCTAACACAAGAATGAAAGATTAGGTGAATAGAAACATAAAACTACTCCAAAAGAATTAAAACATTAAAATGTCAAAGTTTTCCATCTTAGAATATATTATATCATCCCAGTATGAACATCTAGTAACACCAATATATAAATGAACGCAAAATTTTCGAACAGGACCTTCTTCAGAACATAAACCTTGAGGTGTTTGAAAATCTGGAACCAGAGGTACTTCATCGAATATCACAGAATATGTTCCACGTGCTGTCCTAGCAACACGAAACAAGTTTGGATTAGCAGCGGATTAATTCGACCTTCTCATGGTATGACAGAGCCAGAATCAGTGACGTATCGGAAATTAAGAAAAGCTGCAAATCACCTATGGTTCCAGACTTTTCGGAAACTCTGCATTGTTAGAATCATTAAAGCGTGAAATAACATGGCGTAATAAAATGAGAAAACGAACTATACCATACATTACAGAATGAATAAAGACTAAGACGGTATTAAGGTTTTATAGCTGAACGAGAACCTACCTTAAGGCCTCACGATACACGAATGTAAGGTGCTAATGTATACAATATAAGGTCTAACTAAAATTTTATATTGGAACTGAACTTTTGATTGAACAGTCTGGAAAACTCTAATGAGTGAAAGAACTTTGTAACTACTGTGTTTAAACTTTTATGGCATTCCCAAAAACGATATCTTACATACAGAAATATTCTTAGAGGAAATATTGTATGTATCAATAATGTATGTATTGAAAAAATCCTATGAGACTAACTGGTTATACGAATTGTTACGAAAGACAATGAATTTTGTTTAATATGTTCTTTAATAAGATATGGATAAGTAAACAAATGAATGAAAAACAACAATCTTTTACATGCATTAAAATCAGTCTTTCGCATATGTTTACGAACTCAGTTACTGAACTGACTATTAGAAGTTATTCGACTTTTAACATATTTTCAACAAAGAGATTCAACAACCAGGAATTATTTTCAAGATCTTAGAAGTTTTTACATTATCTTGGATTTCCGTAGACACAAGTTCTGGCGTTTGGAACAACAACAAAATCAATATCTGAAAAATTATACGGAAAATTACCAGAATATTATAGTAATTTAAGATGTTTATCAACATGAGTTGTACGTGACTTTTTTGTTGTTGCACTTATTACTCTCCTATACTGCGTATTGGAAAAAACAAAACTGATTTATTATTACATTATAAACTAGGTACATCTGCCAAATTTCACTTAAATAAGATTCATTTTATGTTCTCTTTCTAAAACCTCGCACACTTGTTTCATATTACTAGGAATAAGTCACGTTGTCAAAATTAGAAAGTTTGCCTGTTTTTTTCACGCTGATATATCGTCTGTTATAACAGTTTCCACAGTAACATGCCTACTCGCGCTCTCTATCGGACACAGAGAACAGCAAAGTTGCTCTATACGAGAAAAAATTTTCGACACCGTATACACACGAGATTAAATGTTAGAAGTATCAACTGACTGTAACTGAAACACACGTTGCTTCGAAAGATTGCTTTGGCTGAAATTAACATACAGAAATATCTTGTGAACTGTTAATGATGCTTACTAATCCTCTGTTTTTCTTATTTCGTACGAAACATTTCAAGCTGACTTCATTTTTTCTTATGATTATCTCACGTCATAAGTCCTACTCTCGATTATACGAAAATATTCCAAATATTTATACGCACAGATAGCCCATTGTGTAGCCTTATGCTTAATTAAAAACAAACAAACAAATCTATTTCACCTTTTCAACACTTTCTCTTCCAAAGGAGCTCTTGCTAGGAAATTATTTAACGACTGATAATTAGATTTTTATTTCTTTAATTTGAACAATTAACAGGGGGGTATATTTCACCAGTTAGTTATATAATATAACAATGAAACTTCTTCAGCTAATATTTATAGACGAAAGTTAGATGTTATTGAATTTATCAACGCGAATTTTCTTCATCAAAACTAAACTCTTTCAGGGTACGACTCCGCGTCGTTATATGAAAGTCGACTCTAACTAAAGCTGTTTTGCAAATGGTATTAAGTACCATCTGTAATACACTCTATATATTTTGAGAGAACATTGAATTGTATTTACAGATTTTAGATGACCAAATCTTATTTGCACAATTATTAACGTTACATTACTATGAAAAAGTGATTTTTGACTGCCTAATTACGGAAATACTCTGGGGCGGTTTGACTTAGAACTGAATTCCTTTGGTCACAATACACCAGATTTTCATTGGAAAATGGCTACTGAAAACTCCACCCACCTTTTGTTCCTAAACAAGTCAAATTACTAGCCAGAGGGGAAATTGAAATACAATACTATTGTATTGCTGCTGTCTTAAGTCAGGGATTATTACTGGAGGTGGGTGAATCATACCCTTAAGGAGTTATATATTTTCTGTAACTTTTTTAGGGATATTAGTTGCTTCTGGACATTCCATAATCACCTACATAGTAAATGTCTCCCAATCATGCCCGTTTCCATCAAAATTTGATGCCATTATAAAACTACAGCTAATTTAGAATAATCGTCATCTTATTTATAAAAAACGGCTATCATTGAGAACTACCTAAATCTTTTACACTAATACTCAGTTTTGTCCATCCTGAAAATGCGCATGCGCGCGTACTTTATTTCAACGAATGTAAGCAAAAGGCGGATTTAGATATAGCAAAGATATCCAACGAATGATTTACAAGCATTTTAATCATATTGTTTTTGTATATTGATTTGTGAGAGCAACATACTTCGTGAAAATTTGTAATTTATTCATTAACTTATCATTATTTGTTAGTTCTAATCTACACAATTTTGGTCAGAAGTTATTTACAAGTTCTAACCAAAGCTTTCATTTTTAAAGAAAAATATATTACTCGTGAATTTACCTTTTACAAGTAAAAAGAAAAACGAGAAAAAATAAACAAATTGAACAAGTTTGATTAGTGCATTAAGAAAGAAGAAAATAGAGAAAATAATAGAAGATTCGAAGTATATCTGGAATTTTTCAAAAAGTTTAATAACTTGGGTCATTCTACGGTTAAAAATATGTATTATAATGATTTTGAATAGTTTTTAACCACAATTATTATTTGTTCAAATAATATCAACAGTATTTAAAAGCCTAACAACAAGAAATAAATAATGATTTTTATTTTTCGTAAAATAATCCAATATCAATCTTGCACGCTTCGTATTCGACAGTCTCCAGTTAGACATTTTCGCGTGATAGAATTGTCTCGCCCCCCAGTGGTGTAGCTTTGTGCTTAATTACTAACAAACAAACAATAATTGTCTCTCCCCTCAAATAAAGAATAATTTCCTCACCTCGCGCCTCACACCTATTAATTAAGTTGAGCCATACTGTTACAACGTAAAACAAGCAGAAAAAAACGTTTAAATGTTCATGGAAAACATTTCTTAAAAAGTAAGTATAAAATTGTTTTAACACATTTTCACAACATTCATTTAGACTTTAACAAATAACCATGTTAGCAATACATTTGTTTGTTTGTTTTTTAGAGCAATGCCACATTGGGCTACCTACCGTGTCTTCTGCGGGGAATCTAACCTGTATTTTAGCGTTGTAAGTCCGTAAACTTAGCTCTGTCCTACCAGGGGACATAAACATATGATGGATAAATGTTACAAGAATTTATAACAGAGTTATAGAAATATATACATGCACATGTGTGTGTACTCTTCTATGCCCCACCCTACACACACTCAGTGGCTCAGCGGCACGTCTGAGGGCTTATAACGTTAAACATCGGGTTTTCGTACTCATAGTGGGCAGAGCACAGATAGTCCATTCTGTTAACATTGTACGTAACAATAAACAAAACTGCTCTTCTATGAATGTAATAACTGATATAATAAATACAGTTTGGAGTTACAAAGTGTAAAATAAATACAGTTTGGAGCTACAAAGTGTAAAATAAATACAGTTTGGAGTTAGAAAGTGTAAGATAAATACAGTTTGGAGTTACAAAGTGTAAAATAAATACAGTTTGGAGTTAGAAAGTGTAAAATAAATACAGTTTGGAGTTAAAAAGTGTAAATGCAATTTTTTATACATACGTATGCGTATATGAATGCAAAAAATAAAAAATACGTATTTCTATTTCTTGTAGTCTTTGTATTAACCCAGAAGTTGGACTTAGATATATTACCACTGTATATATAAAAAGCTGAAATTACATGTTATTCGTTGCCATATTAAAATATTCATATTGTTACACACTTAATAATAATATCCAGTTCATTTTCAATGTTGATAATCATCACTTCCAAATGTTTAAGGATACCTGATTAATTATTTAATTTTGAGATTTAGTTTAACTTTAATTCGTTTTTTTTTTTTTTTCATTTTGTAATCTAGTAGGTGCAGACGTATCTTCACTTCAAACACATAAATAAATTTTATTTCATCAAGCTTATGCAAATAATAAAACTGTTATTTCTTTCCAGTAAATTTACTGTTATTAATACAGATTAGACATTTTCGCGTAAAGCTATGCAAGGGCTATCTGCACCTAGCCGTCCCCAATTTTGAACTTATAGATTGGATGGAAAGCAGTTAATTAATAGCACACACCGTCAATTATTTTGCTACTCTTGCCTGACTAAATAATGGGGTTTAATCGTCACTTTTAAGGCGTACCCAAAATTTCAAAGTTTAGAGTCCGTTCTTACAGTAAGGAGACTTGAACTGTGAAAACTCAAATTCACACTTCAGCCACGCTAGCTGTTGGGCCATACCAGGCCCATAAAGTTTACCTCTGTGATATAAATGTTCAGTTGGATGATCAACTCTGGGAACAAAATTTAAACAAATAGAGAATACACATACGTACATTTTGTATTAGAACTTTAATTGATCATGTTTATAGATATAAATCTTAATGTGTAGCCCATTTTTTGACTATAATTCCGACGGTTTATGGCTTGCGTCTAGTTGCAGCTAAAACGCGTTCTATAGTTTGAGGCCGTAAGAGCGTTATAAAAGTAAGGGTCAAATTCCATTAGTCGACCTTTCTGGGTTTGTTTAGCTTCTTGTCTGTATACTGGCATAACTGCCTTTATGTACAGTTTGTTCTTCATCTTTCTCACATAACACAATAACCTTGCTATCACTTCTGGCTGACAATTCTTTATATTGATTCTTGACTTGCCCAAAATTGGTCTAAACGTTTATTTGTTGTTTAAAAAAAAGGATTTACTGGGACTCAGTTGCATAAGTTAGAAAGTCATTTCACGTGTTTAATATTCTCTAGGTTGATCTAAATTTCCTTATATTTAACATACTCCTCTCTCTTTCAACAATATAGATTTATTTCCAAGAGTTCTTTATTTTTTAATTTATTTCTAACCAGTTTTCTGTCACAGCATTGTCGTAGATACCATTAATTATTTTAAATCATATCTTCTCTTTATATTCTGAAACAGAGGATCCCAATATATATAATGCTTACACTTTTGAGCAGGCTCAGATCTTTTGGAAGTATGCGTGGAATATTTGAAAAACATAAAAAATAAAACCCAGTCTTCGTGAGTTACCAACGTATTCTACTAGCCAGTACTGAACGCTCATCTATTGTGACTCACCCTCAATAATTCCCTTTGATTTACCTTTTTATTAATATAAACTAATTTTAATTTCTTAATAAATTATATGGGTCAAGGATAAGTTTCGAACCACTCTTATAAAGTGTAATATTAGCAGATTTAATTTAAGAAATCCTTATTCGTAGCTCATATCTTTTAAAATTAGTATTAATTTGGTTCCACTTTATTGCACATTTTCAATTATTTTAATGTTTTTTTTTATATAAGCCGATCAAGCATTTGCTGAAATGTGGGGTCTGACCAGACTACCCCAAAAAGTTGACAGTGAGTGCTGTTGGCTAGCTACTTTCACTCTAGTCTAAGTTTGTGGACAAATGTGGGCAGTTAGACTTTATACAAAGTTCTAAAAAAGATCTGTAATAAAATCTTACTTATTATCATTATTTTGTCAGTAATTAACTTGTAACTTACATGAGTAGCGTCATCATGTGGTAATTTCTGACATGATGACTCCCCCTCACGTGATAGACAATAACGAATCCGCTTGCGATATACATTTTGCGGTCTCCATTTTGACGTGGCGAGGATTGGTAAGTGTTTTCATTGTCCGCCATTTTGTGCTTTAATTTTGCTATAGTGAAGATATTTAAATAAAGGAGAAGTGACAAGATTAATGATAAGTTACAATAACTTAAAAGGTCTCTGAGGTTGTTAGTCGTGTGAACATTAACATTACTTTGAGTTATTGATAAATAGTAATAGTATAGGCCTATGGTTATGCGACTAACGATATATCTTTGAAAGTTTGAATTGAAACTGAAAGTTAGTATCTGACGTTACACAGCTTATAAATTATTGCAAACCGAAAAGCTTATTCAGTGTTCTTGAAAGGTGGTCCATTCGTTAGGACTAAGAAAGAAAGGTATTTCTAGCAATAGTAGTATTAGTATTACATTTATTAGTACTCGGGCTTACCATTAGCAACTTATCGTTCGTCGGATCTAGCTGCTCTACTACAAGTACTGATTACTGTACTGCTACTAAATTAGTACTAGTAGAACTTATCAGCCATATTACCCTTAGTATTACTATTAGTATAAATTGGCTCCACAGTTTAACTTTTAATCGTTGTTTCCCATCCTAAAGTTGGCTGAAGACAGTGAAGTGAATTTCAAAAACGTACTGTGTAATATATTTCAGTTTTATGTATTCTGTAAATTGTAATTTTTGTCACTTGTTAGAAAATAATAATTTTCAAAATAATGTACTGTCACATAGTTAGATTTAGTACTCTTATTCTTCTGAATCTGATAATATTTATTTACTGATGTTGTTTAGGTACAGATTTGTAAAAATCTTTGTAGACTGAGATTTTAACCTCAAGTCTTCTTGGCTCATAGTTGTGTCTTGAACTATATGATGTAACTAATAAGTTATAAGTTAAATTGTGTATATACTAATTACTGTACACATATGTACATAGGCTACATGAATTTCAAATTATGTTGAGTGTTGTTGTTTTTTAAGAACATTGCTTTAGCTGTGAGTGTGATCAGCTTTCTTTGTAATGATACTATATTATATGTATACTATAATATTATGGTATGAAATTTCAAGCCCTGCCATCCTGTCATATAATGTGTGAGATGGTTGTTGTTTTTAAGCCCAAAGCTGGACATATGGGCCATATGTGCTTAGCTCTACTAATAGGGCTGACAAGTGTATTACTATTAGCCCTACTCATGCCCTGTTCAGATTTATGTGACACTGAGAGCCCATTGCAAAGACAAGTTCCTTCAATATTTCAACAAACACTAAAATAAATTCAACAAAACACATTCCTAACAGGAATATAAAGTTAGGCACCCGAATTGGCTAAATTTTTGTGACAAAATGAGGTCTGAAACTTGAACCTCAGTGTTTAAATGTCATACTATCTGAAATGTAACTTGTATATCACACACCTTGAAATAGCATTTGAAAACAACCTGTACCACTACTGCAGTTCTGGATGTGTGCAAAAAACATCATGAAATGTACAGGAATGACTTGTGGGAATGAAGTACAAAATTGGTTGTAAATTGGAAACACATGACATAATTTATTTATCTCTTTGACAAAAGTGGTGTTGAATGTGCATGGTTTATTTCAAGGCAACTGTACCCCCACTGGTTGTAAATTGGCTTTAAAAACATTGCGCTGATAGCCAAACCTGTCCTTCGGCATTTGTCAGCGACCAGTGAGCAAATTTTAAAACCAAAATTTGTGTGCTGGTTCAAATTGGCTAAACCAATAAGGATAAGTGATACATCAAATGATAGCTACCATCATGCTCTACTTTGGTCTGGCTGGTTTCATTAGATCCAGAAGCATATATTATTTGAAAATGCACAAACAAAACTTTAAAACCATATAAGATTCTGTTTAGCCATTGAATTTGTAGAAACAAAGCCATACAATAAACTTTGGGTTGCGAATTAAGTGATGCATAAACTGATACAAAGATATGTCTGCCCAAATCGAACCAACAGTAAGTCAAAAAATGAGGATTGTAAACAGCCTATACATTGTCCTGACAACAGTTTGCTATACACCATATTGTTGGGAGTGGCTACAGCAAAAGGATGTGTGCTATAATAGTCTATGATAAAGTGGTATGAATGATGTATCGATTACATCATGACATGGCATAGAATGGGTAGAGGTTACTACTGGTATGTATCTGTCAATCAAAGCATTTCAAGTTTACAACCAATGTGGAAACAAAAAACGGTGCCAGTAAGAAATTGAGATGAAGACGTATTGAATTACCTTTTTATATAAAATTGCAAATTTTCATCATGTTCTCATCTGACGCAATATCCTGACTTCATTCCTTGCAAACATGATTACGTATTTAAGGTATTGAAAGCTATAAAAAAAATGTAAAAATTGTGGGTTGGTTTTCTCTAGATAGGTGTTTCTCAAACTGATGTCTGAGGACCCCAGGGGTCTGCAAGGGTACTCTGCATGCCACATTCTTAGGTTGACCAGATTTTCAAACTAAAAACATAGGACAGCCCAGCCCTTGCCCCTAATATCAAAATGATTATTATAAATTTGAAATGATTTAACTTTTATTAAATGTACTTTTAAAGTTATCAAACTGTTTCACAATGTTTTCAAACATGTTAACGATAGTATTGGTTTTGAAATAATTTCAACTACTTCAGTTGGTGATGTATACACACATACCAACTCTTGTAGGTCTACTACGGTTCTACTTATTAAAAAGAAAAAACTGTGAAGACTTGGACTTCTCACTACGAACAGTCTGAGGTTTCAAGAGAGTTTGGCAGCAGGAGAGCATGTATTATAACAATGAGCAAGTCGAATAGATCTTTTACATTTGTGCTTTGATGTGATTGACAGTTTCATGTCTTTATTATAAAACCAGGATGTTTTGTGTGACCCGAGAACTTTTACTGGGACAGCAAAACCAGGATGTCTGGTTGCCCTACGCATATTGTACATTCAGAAATTGTCCAATGGTCAATTTCAAAGAGGAGATAAGAACTATGTCGTAAATTGTGAATGTTCACATTTTAAAGCATGACAGTCCTTTTGTCAAATGAAATATTCAGCTACTGTGAAAATCTTGATACTTTTTTAACAAGACAAGTGACAATCAGATTATGTAATAAAACAGTAAGGGGTTAATCTAAAGTTTTTTCACAGTGACTAACTTTTTTTTTTGTTTATCTTTGTTATATAATTCATAAATTATCAAAATTGCTCTATTCAAAGTTCCAAAAGTGTGTATTCCTTTTTTTCTTCAGTTTGTTAGTATATTAGGCTAGGCCTAATAATGCTCAGTGTTTTAATGGTTAATTATTTGTTGTAATTATAAACCCTGAAACTACTGATGGTCATTTATATTGATGAATTTATTCTTTATTTATAATAAATCTCAGAAAATGTCGTGAGTGAATAATAGTTGAAATAAGAGTAATTAATTGATTACTTCTGTTGGGTGTTATATACACAAGTGCTAACAAAAACTCACCTCAATTTTCTTTTTTCTAGACCTCGAAGTGATTAAGACCCCTAACTACAGTCATGGGAAATATATTTACTTCACTTTTAAAGGGCTTGTTTGGAAAGAAGGAGATGCGGATTTTGATGGTAGGACTTGATGCTGCGGGAAAAACAACAATTCTGTATAAACTCAAGTTAGGAGAAATTGTAACTACTATTCCTACCATAGGTGAGAACACATATATCTAATTTTAATCTATTTCATTGAATTTGTTCCATAAAATGGTGTAAGAATGACATCAAAATATTATACAATGTTTATCTAGTTAATTTAAGAAAAAAGTATCTGAATTCTCATTTCTGTAATGTATGTAAGAATCTAAAATGCATATGATGCCTTTTTTTTTTGTTTCTTATGCCATGATTATGGGGGTCTAACAATAGACTATGTAGATTTAAAAAGGTGATTGTTTTTCAACTTTATAGAGGCATTATTAGCTGAGTAATGATTTTGTTGGTTGCACTCGCATGTAACCTAATGGAAGGTCTCGTTTATAAGGTTTGAAACATATGCCCTCCAGCTAAAACCATTGAAAAGAGGTGATTTAAAGAAGTAAACAAGTTAATCATTCTTTTATAACATTTGTTTTTTCTGAAATAGTTGTGTGATAATGTTGAACCTGAAGGTTGAACACTGTTTTCAGAAATAATTCCCAACTAATATCAAAGGTCTAATATTTTATGATGTTTTTCATTGCTTATGCTGAAATGTTGTTAGTTTTATTTCAAAAAGTGCAGAAATAATTTTCTAAAACAAGAATTCAGGTAAGGATATTTATAGTTAATAAAAATTAAACTAAGAGGTTGAACAAAGGTGTTTGATTGTAAGTCATTATTAACCATACCAAATTTATGGGTAAACTCAATTCGTGATCATGAATATGTGGAACTTTCTGCATAGCAGTAAAATGGCTCAGAGCAGAGTTATCCACTTCTGACTGGTGTTGATGAGAAGGTAGTGTAAAGGATATGGTGACATTATTATGATGGCAATGAGTTTACCAATACATCACATGCTTAAAATATTTTGCCACAGTGCAAATGTTTAGACTTCACAATTATTTTGGAAATGCTGAAGGAAGTAATTAACTTTATATGAGAGTATTTGATACATATTAATCATATTATTCATGAAAATTGGAAAAAAACAACAGTTAAGACACCTGTTCTATCATCATTTTGCTCAGCATCATCATCAGACTTGCCTTAGAACACAAAACAAGAAGGGCTAATGCATTCTTTGCCATATTGAAAGTTATAACTTCTGGTTCACTCGATTCATTTACTGGAAAAGAACACCGAGAACATGTTTTGGATAAGCAAATCAAGCATATCCTAATTTTTAGCCAGTTATGTAATTGTTTCAGTTCAAAAAAGTAAAATAAGAAATATGAATAAGTATAAAACAAGTTATGATATAAGATGATAAAAACCCTATAACCAGAGCTCTTTCGAAAGGTCCACCTTTCAAGACTTCTTGAACCTACATGTTTTTCTGACATCATGAATATAAAACAAGTTAAAAATGATTCAACATATAAAATGGAACTTTCTGGTAAACAAAAAAAGAAATCAGGTTTTACTCATTTGTGTTTTTCTTTGTGTATATATCGGTAATTGTATGTAAATTTTTATGAATTGTGTAAGGTATTATTGGAATTAAAACAGTCTGTGATCTTATAAGAAGAAATAAATATTAGATACATTTCTCAGGACTGTTCTGACTTGAAGAAAGTTGGAGCCAAAAGAGTACCAACCTCAAAATTCTGTCACCAATTTCAAAACCAGGAATCTACTTTTTAACAGTGGATTTGTGTATATACCTATAGGAGGAAGATAGAAATTTACAAACCATGAAAAGCAAAATAGAAATAAATATTAAACATCACAGTATTTAATAAACAACCTGACATATAATAAAATTTTGTCAGGTGTGTGTGTGTGTATGTATATACATATATATACACACACACACACACACACACACCTAACTTTTACAGAAGCCAAATCGAGGAAAGCAGTCAAAGTCTAATTATGTTATCACTGACTAAGGATCTGAATATGTGGAACTTAAGCTAAAAAATGTCTGATAATTGGAATAAATAAACTATTCTTTCAATTTTCACATTTGGTTGCTGTTTTTTGATAAAAATTATTTAACTCATCTTGACCTTGGCGTGGGAGAAGTCATACAAAGACCAAACATGGACTGATATTGTAGCTTTCTGTGTGCAGTTGTAATCAAACTTAGGTATATTTATGATATCTAATGATTGAGTAGTTTGTACACCCTTTAATATGATATCCTTTAAGTATTCCACAATCTTAATTTATTGTACATCCTATTGAATTGACACTTATACAACATGTCACGTGCAGACAAATAACAATGAACAACTAAACATGTTTCACTGGTACAGCAGACAGAAACTGTGTTGTAACCACAATGTGAATAAAACATTGATGTTCAGATTTTATGGGCATCAAATGTTGGACTTTGCTGTAAACATGTTAGCAAGTCTGAGACAAAAAGAAGTATTTTATAATTTTATATAAAAACTGATCATGCATAAAATTTGAAAGTCAAGAATAGATACAAGTACTTTAAAAAAATGTATTACTTTTTTTTACACATCTGATATTATTAAGAAGGCTTATACTAAGTTTCATGTAATATGATTCTGTATTTTATTTTTTCCAGTTAACCCTTCCATTACGGGCTGGGTGGAATCCACCTAGCTCGTAACCATGAAAGTATCCACGAGAGTAATTATACTATGATTTTTGATAATGTATGCACATCTTTACAAAATTTTGCAGGTTATTGGTAAATGTTACAAGGTTTTCATACACAAAGTATCAGGTTTTTGAATTAAGTATTAAGATTTTTTAATTAAAGATTTTCTCAAAGTTTTTCTTTGAGAATGTTTACTATCCAACATGCAAAGCAGTTTTGATTTTAAGATTAAAATACTTTAATGCATTAGAACATATTGAAATTTCACATGTGAAATCTTTATAATCTCCAGATAATTATAAAATTTTTTGTAGAAAAAACTTCATTTTATTTATTTTCACTACTGTATTTATGTATGGGTTGGTTCGATTTGACTGACCTAGTAACCTCAGTAAAAAATTGGGAAAAAATATAAATTATGCTTTTTTCATTCTAGAATGACTACAAATTATCACACAAAAACACAAATTTTAGTCAAAATAGCTTAACTCTTATAACATTATACATTTTATTATTTTTATTATATTGACCTTCCAGCTATGCCTGGTTAACAGTACAGTAGTTACAATGACGTGGTGCATGTGCACTCGCGTTACTATATCCAATAATGTATAACTGACCTTTAATCTTTATAAAGTGACCTGTCTTGGTAGTGTTTTAGTGGGCTTAGTATTTTGTAAAATCAGTCACATTTCAATTATTATACATTATAATATGCATTATGACTT